CAGCCTCAGGGCTTCAGGGGGCTCATGTAGAACCCCCCATGCAGCGCGGGGCAGTGGAGATTGCTCCCCCACTGGGCAGCAACTGGTGAGCCCAGGTTTTTGTTTTTGATTTTTTTTTTTAAAGGGCTGGGAGCTAGGGCAGGCAGGACTACTATGTGGGGGCTGGGGGAGCTGGTGGGGTTCAGAGGCCCATGGCAGAGCCCCCCACATGACATGGGGCAGTGGGGGGGGCAGCGGGGATTGCCCTCCTGCCAGACAGGAGCCAATGAGTCGGAGCTTTTTTTTTTCCCCCAAACATCCAGGAGCTGGGGCAGGTGGGGCAGCCATTGAGAGTGGGTGGGGGATGGGGCCTATGTGATTCAGAGATTCAGCAGCAGCCAAATCTCTGAATCAGATTCAGCTGAATTGATTTGGGACAGTGATTAGAATCACTAAATCAAATCACTTGTCCCCCAAATCAGCCAAATCTGAAGCGCATACTAGCTGCTTCGCACAGGCCTAGTACGTAGAGGCCTGAGAAGTAAGACTTATGAGGAAAGGTGGAAAAGGCTAGGGTTATTTAGTCTGAAGACAAAACTGATTGGGGATTTGGTAATAGTCTTCAAATTCCTGAAGAGCCATCATAGGATGGAGATGGGCTTTTTCTCAGTCCATAGGAGGCAGGACTAGGAGCAATGGCTTCAAACTGCAGCAGAGGAAATTTAAATTGGATATTTTGGAAAAACTCTCTGACAAAAAAGGTGGTCAAGCATTGAAACAAACTACCTAGAGAAGCTGTGGAATCTCCATCTTTGATAATTTTCAAGAGCAGGTTAGACAAACACTTGGCTGAGATGGTTCAGTCAGGGATGATCCTGCCCTGAGCACAGGACTGGACTACATGACCTTGTGAGATTCCTTCCAGCCCTACTTTCCTATGATCCTATGAACGGGGGGGGGGGGGGGGGGGAAGGAAGAAGGCAAAGCAAAGCAAAGCAACATGGCAACTCAGCCACCAAACTGAGTGCTAGAGTGGGATAGAAAATGTTGTTCAGGTCCAAGGTATGCAAGTAGAGGGTCACAATTCTCAAGAAGCCCCATATGATTAGAAGGCTCCTACCTTGCTCCTTCAATCACTTCTGTTTCTCCTCACCAAAGGAAAGATTGCAGCATGGCTGGTTACCACACCTTCAGCACACTACAGATTGTGCTTCTGGTTTCCTTTGGAAGGATTTTCACAAAAAATGCCCTCTGCAGTGTCTGTAAGAGTGGTATTCTCCCTTCATATTGCAAAAGACATGAGCCCTTACCTGAGGTCATGTGAGGATATAAAAAGTCTCATGATTTATATCATATCCTCCATACTGATGATATACACATATGGATTAGGGCCATCTGAATGAATTGTGGCTGGAAATCTGCAGCATTAGCCAAAAGAAGATACGCCCAAACTCCTGGCTTCACACATTTCCCAGTGCCTTTGGCTCTGTAAAAGGTAGCCTGGTTTGTTGTACTTTTGTTTGTGCACCATGACCTGCCATGCAGGATAAGTTACTGCTGCCCTCTTTAGCTTTAATTTACATGATTTTGTCATCCCTGGTCACTCAAGGGATATAGAAATTCAGACTCCTTGTCTCCTCCCCGTCCTGGCTGGTCACACCCCTTTCCCCTGAATGACTCATAGAACACCTGACAGCAGCTTTGCAATACTATCTAGAAGCTATTCCCCTCTCTATTGCAAGGCCATATGACCCTAAATCAGATGGAATTGTAATGTTTTTCTTCAACTTAGAATATTTACTTACACGTGGTTTAAAAAGAAGAAAGGTTATTTTAGTGTCCTATGAAATGCCTGCCAAAAAATGCAAAATCTGACTTACACCTTTAATCATTTTAGGGTTTCCTTTAGTACCAGCATCCATTCATGCTGTTGCCAGAGCCAAGTACTTTAATGACAAGTGAGTATTCTGTCTATTTTTAAAGGAATTCAGCATGCTTTATATAAAGTCTAACCATTTATTTTGAATTTATGGTATATTTTTCTTCCAGCTGCTGGATGAGTGTTGACACTCACTTGCTCTATATTGTCCATGGTCCTGTAATGGCAGCTTTATTGGTAAGAATATTATTGATTATAATGTTGATTCAGTAACCCTTCCTGGAAAAGCTGCTAAATGGCACTGAACAGATATTTCTGTATTTTAAGTATCTTGGCCAAAACTTTCAAAAACAGTTAGAGATTTTCCATGCCTCAACTTCTGATTGCCCTACTTGAGACACATTAAAAGGGGGTTGATTTGGAAAATAGGTTCTTAGTCCCTTCAAAAAAAATCAAGCCTCTTCTCATGATGGTTACCCCTTCAGAATATCGCAAGTCACTGGCTGCTTTTAAAAATCACAGCCATCGTTCTCTTCTCTTATTTGTAACAAACATACTGCATTCTGTATCACTTAAATGAAATATCTGTCTCAGGCTAGATGAGGCAGAGTGAACTGAGAAACAATCTGTAATTTAGCATTGTGGTTTTGTAGCTCTCTGTGCTAAAATGGTAGGGAGCTAAATTGGGAAGAGACTGGGGAAAGAAATAAGAATCCGAGTTGAATAAAACAGAATAGAAATAGTTGAGAAGAAAGCAAATAAGCAAAAAAGAAAGATGTCCCAAATATATAATTTCTGCTATACTGTGGAACCATCCCTTCAATGATTATATTCCAATACTGTCAGTTTGAGCTGAGTGAATGCACCAGAAGGTGAGAAACAGAACCATTAATACCACAGTCCTGTCACTAGCTATGCCCATATTAGTACAGAGACCTTGACCTCCTGAAAAGTTAAAGAAGCCTTTTTCAAAACCACATATCAGTCCCGTCTCTACCAGTCATCTACCAATCACAAATCCTCAGTGAGCATGCCTTCCTCAGACTCACTCTCAGTGGGCACAGCTACACTAGATGCTTAATGCACAGTAGATTAATTCTACTGCACATTAGCATGTCACGGCAAAAACCATGCTAAAGCACTAATGTGCAGTAGAATTAGTCTATGCGTATTAAGCACTGGCTTAAGCACAAAAAGACCGTGCGCCATTGCTACTGCACATTAGAACCAGGTACTGCATATTTATGTAGTACCTCATATTAGAGGTACTAAACTTAATGCACAATAGCAACGATACATTAATGCACATGTAGATGTACCCAGCATCAGTTATCTAAAACAGCCTAACATTTCTCTGATGTCATAATTCCAAGCTCTAGGAAAGGCCATATAAGACTCCCCCTCACCCTTCCCCATTGTTACTGAACTCCAAAACTACATATTCCAGTTGCCCTAATAAAAAGATCTACTATATTTATAGAGACATACATCTCTCCTTAAAATGGGGCATTACAGTTACTGGGTTGCAACACTGCCATTTGCAATGTGACTTCTTCATGAAAACTCCATTTTTGCAAAACATATCAGATATCAGTTCCTTGCTGATCAGAACTAGATCTAGCAGCATACCCCAGAAGACCTACCTTGGCTCAGAAGACCCAAGTATTTTACAGCTGTAGAGGTTTTATTCACTTTTCACAGTTGCCTCAAGGAATTTTTAAAGTGGAGATTAAGTGATGATGGGGAGAGGGGGGGGGGGGGGGGGGGGAAACATTACAGTTAATTACAAGTGAGGCCACACAAATCATTCTTCATTATTCTTTTTTCAAGCACAGCACAAATACAAAGCTTTTGAGACATTTCTCAGTAGCTACAATAGTATGAAATGGTTTCCTGCTGCTTATGAGTCATGTGGTATGGTGCTAGAAAGTCCAGACATGCTCTTTCATATTCTTATAGATTGATGTCATTTAAACATATCTCAGAACAATACAGTCATTTCAGTTTTTAAAAAAAACCTTGGAAAAAGGGTAGTATGGCACATGTATAAAACTCTGCACTAGTAAGCACATGATAAAGAATAGGAGCGGGCAAAATACGGCCCATGGGACAGCCCCAGAAAGGAAGCTAAGCATCTACAACTGGGGCCACTTTGAGCTCAACAATCGAAGTGGTAAGTTCTCCTATACCCTAGCTACCTTCTTAAGTGCATCCCTAATAGTACTATATACTTCAGTGAGATTTCTCCATTCTCAAAATTTAGCATGCATTTAGTGTTTTCCCAGATTGGGGCCAAAGTCCTCAGTACTCTATAGGCCTCAGATCTTATTGCCTAAAGAGAGTTGTAAGAGACAGTTCCTTAGCTGATATAGATGTTAGGGCTGTGCGAAGCTTCAGGTGATGATTTGATTTGGAGGAGATTCGGCTCAATTCAGTGGCCAAATCTCTGAATCCGAATCGAATCAGAGGACCAATTAAAAGGTCCAGATCTGTTCAAAGCTCTTCAAATCTTCGTAAAAAGATGTGGAGAGCTTTGATGATTCGGGCAGTCCCCACCCGCTGCAGCAGGGAGCTGGAGCTGGACTCAGAGCTGGTAAGTAGGGGGTGGGGGAAGGGAGGCTGGGGGAGAGGGGACCATGGGGGGGGGGACCCCTACCAGGCCCCATCCCCTGCCTGCTCTCCCAGCCCCACCATAGCTGCCCCGCCTGCCCCAGTTGCCAGTGCTTTAAAAAAAAGCCCCCACTTAATGGGTCCTGCCAGGCAGGGGAGCAATCCCTGCTGCCCCCCAGTATCCCACACTGCATGGTGGGGCTCTGCCACAAATCCCCTGGCTCCCCCTCACTCCTGCAGCCCCCACATGGCTGCCCCGCCAACCCCAGCTCTGGCCCTTTAAGAAGAAAAAAAAAAAAAACCCCAAAAAAACCCTAAGACTCATTGCTCCTACAGTGGCCTCAGGGCTTTGGGGGACTCATGCAGAGCCCCCCCATGCAGTGCAGGGCAGTGGGGATTGCTCCCAGCTGGCAGAAGCGGTGAGTGCAGGGGTTTTGCCTCAGTTTTTTTTTTCTTAAAGGGCCGGAGCTGGGGTGGGCAGGGCAACCATGGTGGGGCTGGGGGAGCAGCGGGAGAGTTGGGGAGGCTCATGCAGAGCCCCCGCATGCAGCATGGGGCAGTGGGGATCACCCTCCCCCGCCCAGCAGCACCTGGTAAGTCGGGGCTTTTTTTTGCCAAGTGCGGGAGCTGGGGTGGGTGGGGCAGCCATTGCCCGGACTGGGAGAGCAGGCAGGGGATGGGCCTGAGTGATTCGGCAGCATCTGAATCTCCAAATCAGATTCAGCCAAATCAATTTAGGACAGTGATTCAAATCACCAAATCGAATCACTGTCCCCCAAATCGTCTGAATCCGAATCTGAAGCGTATACTAGCCGCTTCGCACAGGCCTAATAAATGCACACCAGCTGCACATGTAGCTCCCAGTGCTTTAAGGAACCCAGGGTTACATAATGTGGTCTTCATAGCAATCCTGATGAGCTACCCTGAGTGCAACCCTGAGCTAGGACGAGGCCAGGAAACTGTGGTTTGCTGAGGGGAGGAGGAGGGGGGCCATTAATATGAATTTTTACTGATGAAGTTTTTGTTCTTGCAGGTCAATTTTTTCTTTTTGCTTAACATTGTGCGAGTTCTAGTGACAAAGCTAAGAGATACACATCGGGCTGAGTCCAACATGTACATGAAAGCCGTCAGAGCCACTTTAATCCTGGTGCCGTTGTTGGGAATTCAATTTGTTATTATTCCCTGGCGACCAGAAAACAGACTTGCTGGAGAAATATATGATTACATCATGCATATATTAATGCATTACCAGGTATGTTTCATAACATCTTGTTATGCTTAGGAGATGCATTTACTGGGAAGCTAATTTAGTGGAGAATTCTGCTGCCAAATACTTTGTCTCTAAAAGGGAGCCTGACTCTTTGGTTTTGTTTCCTCCAGCACTTTCACATGATTGTATTATCTCCCTCTGCTGTTCTAGTGTTAATGTATAAACTGCCACCTCCAAGATGAGGAAAGCAGGAAAAATGCTGCAGAAATTAGAGAATAGTGATGCTTCTGAAATGAGATCACAGAAGGCTTCATACATTATTCAGAGCCCTGCTAATACAGATATGTTCAGATAGCCTATCTGAAAGAGCTACAGTGGGGGTGATATTAAAATTAACTCTATGTGGAAATGATTATGAAAGGAAAGAGATGTATGTAGGAGAAAAGGTCAAGAACATTAAGGCTAAATCATAAAATTGTTAAATCATCATTTAGATGGTTTTAATTAAAAAGCTGCTCTAACATTTTGATTTTATGAGTATTTTGAAAATACACTATCAATAGTTCAAATGCACTGCTTTGTACAATAATATACAATGGAAAAAATGGACAAAACAAGCCAGCTAAGTGGTATCTCTGTAGAAAGGGCTGGCTAAACAGTGATTAAGACACAGTAAAGGTAAAAAAGAAGTGCCATGAAACATGACTATAACATATTATTATTATTAATAGTAAATAATAGTCTAAGGAAAAGAAGTTCCATCCCTATGAGCTGCCCCAGCCAACTTGTATGAGCGTCTGTGCTAGGCTTCTGGGCCAGCTGCTACCATTGGTTCAGTTCCATGAAGACCAACAGTGGCAGGGATGCTGTAAAAGGAAAAAGGATCCAAATAGCCACCAGCCTTCTAGTGTAACCTATTCCAGTGGTTCTCAACCTTTTCAGTGGACTCAAGGTACCCTTTGATAGATTCGAGGCACCCATCAGAAAATACCAGCTTTTCACTTGTTGTTTTTTTTTGTTTGTTTGTTTTTTTACTATAAAAAAAATAGAGCAATTTTTCTGTTGCAAAGAATTCGGAAAAACCAAAGCAGATCAGAACGCTTTTAATACTGAGGATTTCTATTTGAAATCTCTGGGTTTATCTTATGAATCATGTTTGTTCACCTAACAGTGCTAACGCTGCAGCACCCTTGAAATGACCTCAGGGCACCCCAGGGTGCTGTGGCATCTTGACTGATAATCACTGTTCTATTCTAACCTGTCCAGGGGGTCTCTACCATGTGGTAGCTAGAACTCTGTGGATATGTGTACACTGCCACATGGGCTAGTCTTAGGCCATTTTCAAGGCCCACACATGCCAATCTTTTACACACTGGGGACTCCAATTCACCCACCCTACTCTTCAGCACCAGCTGGGGAACCCCAAAAGTGACCTCCCTCTGCTGCCCCCCCTCCCATTCTAAAAACAGCCAGCACTGGCAGAGAGCCCTAGCCATTGCAATGGGAAAGGCTCCAAGCTGGCAGCTAGATTCCCCTCCCTGCTGGAACCAAGAGTGAACTTCTGTTTGGTCTGGGGTAATGTTGTAACTCAGAACTCTCTGCAGAAATCATTCTGAGTTACAGCTCTCATTATAAATCAGAAAATGTAAGCCTCCACCAGGGGTAAGTGAAAGTAATGCTTCACGTGCTCCACAATGAGCACACTGGGCTCCTTCACCACTGCTACTCAGCTACTTACCAGTATTGTCAAGGAAAGATCTTTTTTTCTGCCATTCTGCCTTTCAAAAAACAAGTTATGCATTATATTATAAGGCACATTGTTTGAAAGAGAATATGGTGCTGAGTCCCTATTATCATGTGAGGTTTGTTACTCCAGACAGGACAAAAATCTCTTTCACAGCTATGGAGTGAACCTAGGGGAAAAAAAAAAAAAAAAAAAATGATAAAAACAAAGATTCTGGAAAAAATGGCTTCTTAGTGGCTTTGGTTCTCCTAATATGAATCTGTGGTTTGTGCCCTATGTCCAGAATGACCCCAAGGAATCTCTGAAACTGGATATTGATTACTCCCCCTCACAATTACTAATACAAATCCCGAGCTCAAAATGTATTTGAAATGAAGGTAATATCAGACAGAAGAGATACTTCACCTCTTAAGTGGAGGAACTAATGCACAGCAGCTCTCTCAAAAGTAGAGACTTAACATGGATTGATGAACACCCAGCTCTCCAATTAAACACAGAGAGCTAATAAAGTACATGTCATGAAGTAAACATTTCCTATCCAGAACAGAAAGTTAAGTGTGGATTTTCCCTAGAGAACATGACTTTCAAGATTCTGTAAAATGATTACGAAAGGTATAGCTTTCCCTTGAACCAGCACTTTGCAGTGTTCATCAGGGTCCCTTAGAGCATGAAGAAACCCTTCCAGAGTGTCATGCAGAGAGGCACTGATATGTATAGGTGAGTGGGGTGCATCCAGGAAAGGAATGAAGTAGCAGCCATTTGTACCAGGTTGTTGAAATTAAATTCTTCCCTCCCATGCTTGCACAGAAGTGATGTAGATCCCCACTGCATACCCTGCCTGAGACCCAACCACAGATTTTTGTGCCTTTGCTTCAGCAAAATTCTTCAGCATATATGCTTATGGTAGGCATCCAAAAGAGCCCAATGAAGTCAGTAGTAATATTCACATGTTTAAAACACTTACGTACCAAAATATCTTGCTGAATAGGGAGCCCTGGGAGTCTGAGATTGCCTTTATGAAAGAATTAAACAGTCATTCAAAATCGCAGCCCCGTTTTCATAAGTGTATAAACCACTTTCCCCTACGAAAAGGAACACAAATGATTTTTGCTCACCTATCAAACAATACTAACCCTACATCCCCCAGTAGCTTGTGAACAGTGGGATCAGAATTTAAACAGTTGCCTGCCACAGTTTGAAGGTGTGGCCTCCTTTTCATGAAGGCTACTCTGTTTTCTTATGAACAGATTTGAGAGCTATATTTTTTTACACTGCTCTGAGCTTGTAAATTTGAACTCATGCAGACAAGCAGAGTAATTGCTTTATGCAGAGCAAAATTAACCATTTAAAAAATGTCATGCTCATTTGATCCCTTTACAGCATATGCATTCGTACACCTCTGCATTTAAAAGGGGCATAAATATTGCCAACATTTGGTGCCAAAGCAGACAGAAATTTTCCTTCTGCCATGGAAATTCAGGGGCCTGGGGCCACTCCTGACAAAATAAATGTTTCCTTTATTTCTTGTTCACTTATACTTTGGTTTGTATTTATTTTCAACTTTCTTGCCATTTTTTTAGCCAATGAAAATCAGTTTTTGCAACTGGCTAACTCTTGAGTGCTATTTTTGTATGTAGTATTTGTGTATAAAAAGGGTAAAATTGGGGGCTCCAGCAGTGACAGTGAGAAGCAGCAAAGAGAGGGGGAGCACTCAACATCAGCCATTTCTCAGCAGGGGACCTGCCATCTTCCCTCCTTTTCCTGAAAACCTCCTTCAGCTTAGGCAGTAGCAAATACTTTTTTGCTGAGCAGCTTCTAGCATAAGTGAACTATCTGTCATCAAAGTATTTAACTTGGGACATCATACTGTTATGGGCATCACAGAGTTGATATGGAACTGGATGATTTACCTCAGTTTAATTTTCCATGGACCTCAGTTTCATTCTGAAAAACTAAGTGAAATAAGGACCATTTTTCTGACCCCATTCTATATTAAAAAGTGAGCATGTGCATCTCAATGGCAGATTATATTTCCTATTAATTTCTGCTGTCTGCTCTGGAGGACCAGGTAACCTAGGTGCATACCAGGTTTTTTTTTTTGGCTTACACACAAATCAACAGAATTGTTAACTGAATTCCTATTTTACAGACATCTCTGCAGTCTTCATAACCTTCAAACTATAGTGACAATTATGCCTATATATTCTCAGTGAGGGCATTAGGTCTGCACATGTGAAACCAAGCAGATGATGTGAAGACACTGGAGATGTCCACTTATTACTAAGAGATCGAAGATGTAGAAACTTTACCACTCAGAGAAGTTTGGCTGTTGAACCCCAGCTGAGTTTGTAAGACTTGGAATTAGAAAACATTTTGGATCTAAGTCAAATGAACAAATTTTATAGGGAGAGACAATCACTATAAAACTCCATAGTGCTGCTTTTGTAAATTCACTTTTCAGAACAGAACTCTGCTTTAAGACACTGAGGGCATGTCTACATATGCACCCAAATGCACTGTTGTTATTGCGCAGTTATTTAGTACTTTCTTAGCTTTCGCAAGTACTAAATGACTGTACAGCAAATGCCATTACTGCAATCCTGGTGGCGCACGGGTCATTTCCAACCCTACTGTGCAGTATCATCGGCATCACTGTTTGTGCCCACCAACACTGTCTCCATAGTTCATTGTAACGGCAACATAGTGTCTTGTGTAGACACACCAAGACTTCTATAGTGAACAAAAAACCCCAAACTGAATAGTTGTTAAGCTAAGAATTTCCTTAGATCAATAATGGTTCCTGAAGGTTAAGTAAATCTAGCCATGAGTTCAGGAATATATCTATATCTATATATCTCTATCAGATTTATATATTTTATGGCTAGCAAATGTATAATCCCTTGAGCATGAGTCAGCAGATGTGTCACAGGCCAGCTGGGCACTGTGAGTGTATCAATTTAGTTGCAGGCTGACTGAGTACTGCAACTGTATCAGCCACTGGCCTGTTTGGTTCAGGACTGAGGAGGTAAAGTTGGGAGTGAAACAATGACAAGTTTCACTTACAACAGTAAAAATGAATTTTACTTATAACAGCAAAAGATATAGTTTAGACGTATAACAGTTAATAAAAAGGTTAAGCTAATAAACAGACAACATAACAATAAAAGTTAAAAATTGGCAGTGATAATAAAAACAGACAGACAATTTAACAAAGAGTTCCCACTTGGTTAGCAACTTATCGATAGTCCCTCAGTGTTAGGTAAACGTCAAGTTGATTCAGCGAAGTCAGGCGTCCCCG